TCCCCAGCAACATACTGTGTAAAGTTCTACTTTAAAAGGCCAAGTCAAAATTGGCATGGAATTGACTTGGCCAAGAATACATACAGAAAGGATGTTACGCCATTGAACAAAAAATATAATTCTGTAAATTGGTGTAACTACACAAGCCCTATTATTTTGGTCTCCTCCACTCGTCCCAAGTCGTTGCCCCAGGGAATGTTTCTTGTCTGTGGGGACAGAGTATGGTTGGGCATTCCGTCGCGGTTCCAGGGGGGTCCATGTAGCCTTGGCAGGCTTACTACCCTCACTCCAAATAAGACTCAAATTATGGATTGGAAAAAGGAAAGACAATTGGCCAGACAAAAGAGATCATATGAACAATTCGACCAAAACTGCGATGACCAAATTTACAATTGGGGCAAAACAAAGAGGGTTGCCGCTTCTATTTTTCTCCCCTGGTATGCAGTGGCTAAAGCCCTCGGTGAGCTTTCTCACCTGGAGTGCTGGATAGTTAAGCATGCCAACACATCGTCTGCCGCCCCCTCCGATCTCTTGGCGGACGAACAAACCACCAGGCAAGCCACCCTACAGAATCGGGCGGCAATTGATTTTCTGTTATTAGCCCATAGTCACAGCTGCGAGGACTTTGAAGGACTGTGCTGCTTCAATCTAAGATCGAGAAGCAAATCCATCCAAGCCAGCATCCAGCGTATCCAGACACAAGTGCAACATCTAAAGACTGAAACTTCGGCTGTGGACCCTGCGACCAAAATATTATCCAGTGGGGCGTTCCTGGGTGGGCAGCCTCAATCATCAAAGGACTCCTGTGGATTTTAGTTATTGTTCTTACTGTTTTAATTGCTTTGGCTGTCTTTAAAAGGATGTTAGTAAAAACATTAGGAGATGTTTATTTAATTAATAAAAACGGGGGAGATGTGGTAGATGTGTAAGAGAAGTTACCCCTAATATGCCATGGGAGGAGGCTGTGGTGTAAATTCCCGCCTCCCTGGATGTCCATCAAACCCACCACTCCCCCTGGGTTATATAATCATCTGTTGTACC